TGTGGCCTTTTGCAAGGTTGCACCTTACAATGTCCTGTCCCAAAAGATCCCCTTTTGACACACATAACAAACACAGGATCTTTGTTTTGTCAACATGACAACCAAGTGACAGCCCAAGAGTACTCTTAATGTTGTTAACCTACACCTAGTAAAAACTGCAAGATTTTTCTGTAAGGCTGTGTACTGCAGGAAGAGCTATCTCTTCTTAGAGAGGCTGCGGAAAGGCATTTTATCAGGCGCACTTAAGTGAAGTATCAGCTCTACAGGCTAGCCACAAAAAATTCCAGCAGGTTTATGGACTATCAGAAAATATCTTCATTTAATCAGGCCTTGATTAAAAGAAGGTCTCCTCTTCAAAGGAGGTGATCAGCTGCAGTAAAATCATAGAAGGAGAGGAGAGAGACATGGATTAATGCTTTCAGAGGATTTGTCACCTAGAAGGAAATAAGCAATTTTTATGTTTGTGCAAGAAATCTTCAGGCAAGTTGTTTCAGCGATTTAACTTATTTATAGTTGGTCAAGAAAAACAAAACCTTTTATTAGAATCCTTGCCACTGTACTATGAAAGCTATTTTAAAAATGGCCCAAAGCAAATCTTATCTCTATATCTCAGCAAACCAAGGTCTTCTAAGATCAATCAGCAAGTACCAACGATGTAACATTAAAACAAATAAAATAGGAAATTACTTTGAGTGCAGAATTATATCACAAAAATATGGAAACACCAGTAAGAAGGAATCCATATGGACTGAAATTCAAAGCCTGAGAAAGAAACATGAAAAGTCAGGACTGCACTACTGAGCACCTACATAGCATCATAACAACCATGACAGGCTGAATGTCACATCTTGAGAGAGATGAGAAATAACAGTAATACACTGCATGATTATGAGAAGAAGGTGCAATCACCAAGACCATTTTTTGGACTATATAGATAGAAATCCAGAAAAGCAGAAGGAATTCTTGAGCTATTCTGGAAAAAAAGGGCAATAATTTGCTCATTATTCTGTAACAATATGCTTTAATTTTCTATCTTTGCAAAGACAGAAAAACAAATATTATGTATGAATTCAAATATTCATTAAAAATCAAAAAGCCTGTTCAAAAAAATAGAAGGCGCAGCCAAGAAAAAAATCTGTACAGGAAGCACGTAGACAGTTCTGACACATCACACTGTGCTGTGAGAAAAAAATGTTTGTCAAACCATGAATAAAACAAATCAAAGCAAATGTAAACTGTCAAACATCCTACAAAAAGCAGAAATTGTATACAAATGAGGAAGATAAGCTCAAAGTTTGGTCAATTAACTATATAAAACCATAACTCAATAAACTAAATAAACATAACAAGCACATTAAAAAAAGAAGTCTGAAAACAAAGAAAAACATCAATCTCTTTTAGGAACAGGAAAACTCACATAAAAGATTGCCTATTACCTTCCTATTATCTCACTATTACCTTAGATTACTATTACTCATGTAAAATCCTTGAATTCATTAAATATTCATTTGATGAAAAACACACGAAATCTGCAGAATAAAATGATTTCACAATGATTATCAGTGAATTAATCCAAAAGTTTATACAAAAGACAATTCCTAGCATTGACAAAGTTCCTTGCCAAATTCAAACCTTCAAATGTTGACTGAAGAACAGATGATTTGGTCTCAATTTATCTTCAAGTCTAGCAAGGAAAAATTTACAAACCATCATATGAACAACTTCAATTTGATTTGCTGGGGTCAGTCAACTACCGAAGTTAGGATAAAATGTGAAGAATTTGCCTCACAATTATTATCCACCACCCGTTGCTTGGAATGTGTCCTCGCATGTGCAGAGGAGACAAATATGAATTACAAATAACTGCTTTCATCATAAAATGTAAGATACTCACTAACAAAGAGAAGAATAAAGGATGTTCAAAAATTCAGAGCTATTCCTAAAATTCATCTCAAGTCAGTCCAGAGATAACCCCACACACAAAGACAATGATGAGCTGCAAGTGCATACACGGTCAGGGAAGATGATAGTCCTAGGCAAAGTAGCATAGAGCATGCTAAAAGTACCAGAGTTTCTCTGTTATATCTCTTAAATATCTAAGACACATTAAGTCCAGTTTGGATATGTTTCAGATATTCTACAGTTACAACTTTGAATTGCAACTCAGATGCAGTACAAATGACAATTATTAGTATATGATTACCTCTTCTGTATAAAGATGGATTATTTTTCATTGCTCAGTCTCACTCCTCTCTTTGATAAAGTTCTCTAACGTGTACTTCTTTCCAAAACACAAACTAATGACATATTTTACAGGATTCTTTCTTAGTTTATAACTGAGACATGAATTAAAATAAGACCCAAGAGACATATATATCAACATTTACAGTAAAAAAATATTATTTATCACAAGTTCTATCAACTCTAAAGCATTATCACAACATTATCACAAACACACATACATGTCCTTGTTATTTCCTGTCATTGAGACAATAGCTCCAAGAAACCTCTGTAAAAAGCAATCAAGATCAATACACCAATCAAAAGCTGCACTATTTTGTAACAAAACCTGCTTTAATTGTTTTATACAAAGTCCTTCTAGCATAAGAAAAGGAAAAATCAGAGATAAACATTTCTGAAGCAACAGAAGCAATTTAAGAGTTGACTCCCTTTACTGCCTACCAAGTTTATTCTTACGTAGTGCACAATTAATTATCAATTAATATATATCCACAAAACATTCAGAATAGATTACATATTTATTTGAAATAATTTATTAATGATAACATTATATTAATAACATTAAAATAAAACATCCCTTGTCATTTTAGAAATTCACATACCTGAACCATAAAGAAATCCTGGTTGCAACATGTAGTTTACCACACTACTTTATCACTTTATCACTATGAGGAGTTGTACTATTATTGTTAATTGATTTAGTTGCTGATTCAGAGTTACTCCTTTATAAATTATAAAGGCAATAGGGATCACAACACCTTACTTTCCATAAACCATCATGGTGTATTGCCCATATATATAATCTTATCAATATATAAATTACACTTTGAATTCTTTGTCAGACAGCATGCTCACTGAACCAAGATTCTGTTTAGAAAATGAACTTAATATGGCCAAAACAAATCAGAATAGAATATTGTACCTTAGAATACTGTACTTATCCCACAGGGTAGTTAAATATTATACAGAATACCATCTTTAAATGTAAACCTTAACAACCAGCTTATGAAGGTTTTAAAAAATACTGTCCTAGAAAAATTATAACTGGCAGGAACAAAATTTTTGTATCTAGTCATCAATTGAAGTAATTATTTCCTTTTGCTAATACCAAACATTTTATGTTTCAAAAATGGACTAAGTTCTGAAAGATACCTTGTCAAAAAGAAAGCAACAACCACCACCCCAAATATGTGCAAACTGTTGTTTTAAATAATGCTATAAACAGACATTTCAACTTCATGTGAACTGGTATCTGCACAACTCTGATTGTAGAAAGTCATGAAGGCCATCTCTGTGCGTCTCAGAACAAAATTGTTTTACAAATATTAAATGCATTACAAAAATATTCATCACTCTGGATTTGCTTTCATTTTTTAAAACATGTCTACTTTTTAAATTAATGGTTAATTATTCAAATTTCCTATTCAGTTTCTTCAGTTTCAGTTTCTCTTCTTGAATTCTTTTTGCTTTGTCACTAAAGCAAGTTCCCACGCCTGCTTTATATAACCCTAGAGAATATTAACACCCTTTAAATTTTCTATAAAATATTCCAGATTTTATTTTTTTCAGATTTTTCATTTTCATTTCTTTCTATTTGCATAAGTTATCAAGTCAATGTCTTTCTCATTCCTCCATAGTAGGTCTCATTGTACTTTTAAGCAAATTTTGAAGAGCATAAAATCATAATTCTTCTGTCACTTCAAATTAATCATGTCCTGCACTGCCAGTCTTCCCACATATCCAGCATTTTTCTTTTCTCATAATGAAAAGTACTCTAAAATCTAAACATTTTGATTCATATTAAGGAATATACATGCAAAACTATGCTGCTGCTCACTGAATAGATGCCGAACATGCCAACATTAAATCAATCATGTAAGTAAAGAGAAATTTTCACTTCAGTTCCATTTTTCAGCTTTAACATCAATTTCACTCATAGTGTACAAATGCTCTTGCCTCCCTCTTCTGAAGGGATGAAGACGACCGATTGGATCCAATTGTATTCAGTTTCTTTGTGAATACAATATGGTGAAAAAAGCATTATGTTAAAGGAACATGGAAAACTGTCGGAGGGGGAAGGGTAGAGTGAATTCTTCGGCAGACTGTCCATAAAGATTGTTCATCCTTTCTTTCCTAAGAAGGCAATCACACACTTATTTAAAGTAATGTCATCTGGATTTCTGCAGAAAGTATGAATCCAAAAGTTTCAATCCTTACGGATTTCATAAGAAACCCAAAAGGGAAATAAACCAAAAAAGAGATAAGTTAGCCCACATAAAAACTCCAATAACATATGTATCCCTGTAGTTCCACTAACACTTACCACAAACTATATTTTTCTAATGAACATTTTTGCATTAAAAAATTGTAACAGTCAGTTCAGAGACTTAGAAAAAGATCAGCACACTCAGTAACACCTAGATATTCTCAAATGACTCAAAAATTACTGAAAATATATGGCTCAGCTTTGATAGAATATATACGTGTATATATTTAGATATGTATATTCCAATCACTGGAATTTCAGAAAATATAAGAAACTCTATCAGTGCCTCCAGCAATTTCAGGAAAAGCAAAAATTCCAACTATATGACTAAGTATCCACACCCTACCAACCATGCACTGTAATCCCATGACTCAGACAGCTCTGGAAATGAAGTAGCACGTTAATTTTCATTTAGTGATGACTAGCAGGAAAAAAAGAACATACTTTCTAAGATATGTAAACAGACTTTACTAATTGGTCAAACAAATCTTACCCCAGCAGAATTTTAGCATGAACCTCTTTGTTAGTCCTTGAGATTTCTCTCAAAGAGGTAATTTCTGCATCAAACCAAAATCCTCTTTCTTCTGGAGCCTCAACATTGTAATTAACCATTACCACATCACCCACTTTTAGTTCACTCCACTTCAGAATGGTTCTTGCTCGTGGGCGAAGATTATTGATGTCCATTTCTACTATGCCATTCTCTGGGTACCTTGAAAAGTGAAATCAACAGTAATAATTACTACTCCTATGAAAGAAAAAAGTCAGACAGTATCTGTTACAAGCATATTTTTTACATGACTATGGGGAATATAAAAAGACTATGTAAAACTGATCTACTATTTTTATGAAAATTGAATTTTAATCTAAATACAGATCTGTAATTTGACTAATCTCAGACAGAAACAGCCTCCATCAGTTCTTAAAACTGCTTGAAAACAGTTTCCCCAAAAAAAAAAAAAAAAAGAAGTAACTGGAATGCAGTTAGATTCAAGCTTCAGCACAGATACAGACCAAATTTGCTCCCAGAAAAGACAATGTTCCAAGTAGACCAACAATGAAAAATCAAAGATCATAACTAAAATTTTCAGAACAGCATATTACTAGTTTAACTCTGTTTTCATAGATCTGTTACATCTCCACTAACCTACACAGAAACACACTTAACACAGCTCTTCTTAAAGTCTCACTCTGTACCCACAGCGTATCAGATCCAGAGGATGAATATAGTCCAAGTTGACATTCCACGCATCAACTCTTTTTTAAAAAAGGTTAATTACAACACTCAAGGAGCAAGAAAGAGAACTATCTTTGAGAGACACGAGGCAACAGTTTAAAAATATTTCCCATTTTAGATTACCTAAGGAAAGGTTTAGAATGAAAAAAATTTAAACAGGAAGATCATTCTTTCTTCTCTTGACACCACACTTTTCTTGACAAGATGTGGTAAGAAATGCAACAGTATTAGAAACAAATGAAGTTGCAAGAAAATAGTTCATTAAATCATATCTAAGAAATTGTCATTGATCTGTTCTTTTTCAATGGATACCCTATGGCTTTCTCCACAATTTTACACAATATTTTCCAGAACATTAAACACAAATTCCTGAGGTTTATGAGCAATTGTGTTCTTCTTCCTCCTCTGCTGGTGGAATATTTGTCAGCAGCACAATTAAAATGCAAAAAAAAAAAAAAAAAGAAAGAAAAGAAAAAAATCAAGTTTGGAGGACCTTAATTTTTCATCCTAACAATACAGTCACAACATTTCAATAACAGTAGAAGTTTCATAGTCTTCCCATGTGCTGAAAAAAGAAAACCAGATACTGTACTACAGATAGCACAGAAAAAATGCTGGAAGGAAAAAAGCTGCTACAAAAAAAAAAAAAAAAGAAAAGTAAAAATAAAATGTCACATTAAAAACATCAAGGCTTCTGATTCTGCAGGTAAACAGAATTTCCATTATTATACCAGTACAAATGTCTAAAACTAGATCTAAAAAACTTTAAAACTTTTTTCTTAAAAAAAAAAAGCTCTGAATGACAAAGCAAATACCCATCATATAATTATTTTAGCAAGTACACTCAGATTTTTATAAACTTCTGTCAAACGGTACAGTTAAATCCCAATTGCAAAATTTAAACTAACTAATAAGGCATAAGTTAATGACTTTCCAGCAAGCTTATCTGAAGCAAAAAAAAAAAAAACAACAGTTTTTCAGGAAAATACACATTTTAACTTACTGCATAAACAAGTATGTAAGAAGTATATAAACTACTCCCAGGAGCAGCTGAGTCTGTCACATCTCTGATGTCCACTCTAAAACAGTTTATTCAAAGTTCATTGACACAAGTTGAGACATTATCTTTTACCTGGGATCATTATATTTCTTTACACTTCTTCTGTTAAATCTGACATATCAGTCTGCTGCTACACAAATGGGTTGGGGTAGGGGGAAAGCCATTAGGGGCTGGTTTTCTGTGTTCAGGACTTTATTTATCGTCTATTTTGCAAGTATCTAAAACATGACTTAAAATTGTTTAGAACATCTAATTTGTTTTGTTTACAAAACACAAACTGCAACGGATGGACCCTGACAAGCAGGAGAGCTGGGCAGAGAGGAACCTCAGGGAGTTCAACGAAGACAAGTGCAGAGTCCAGCACCAAGGGAGAAACTACCACATGTGGCGGCTGACCTGCTGCAGAGCAACTCCACAAAGAAGGACCTGTGAGTCCTGGTGGACTACGGACTGACTGCGAGGCAGCAACGTGCTCTCGTGGCAAGAAGGCCACCAGCATCCTGGGTGCATTGGACACAGTGCGGCCAGCAGGTAGAAGGTGGTGATCCTGCCCCTCTGCTCAGCCCTGCTCAGCACACGGAGTGCTGTGTCCAGCGCTGGCGTCCCTGGTGCAAGAGGGACGTGAAGATGATGAGGGGCCTGGAGCATCTCTCCTGTGAGGAGATGCTGAGACAGCTGGGCCTGGAGAGGAGAAGGCTGAGGGTAGATTTTGCCAGTGTCTACGTGTATCTAAAGAGAGTGTAGAGAGCACAGGACTAGACTTTTCTCACTGATGGCCGGTGACAGAACAAGAAGCAATGGGGAAAAACAGAAGCACAGGAAGTTCCACCTGAATTTGAGGAAAACCTTCTTGACCATGAAGGTGTCAGAGCACTGGGACAAGGTCGCCCAGACGCTGTGGAGTCTCCTCCAGAGATCTTCCAAGCCCGCCTGGATGCCACCCGGTGCCATGTGCTCTGGGTGTCCCTGCTGGAGCAGGTCATGTGCTAGATACTTTGGCCTAGGTGATCTCCAGAAGTCCTCTCCTATCAGCCTATCAATCATTTGCGATTTTGTGAGCAGTTTAAAAGTGGTTGTACTGTAGGCAAACACCAACAGCAAAGAAAGAGAAACATGCATCTTTAAGCACTTACAAAAATCCATAAGTGTTTAGAGGGAATACACTCAGGATTTAGTTTTTAACTGCCAAAGTCTGCTAGATTAGAACAGTTCACAGATATTTGGGATACAGCTGCTATTCAAATCACCATGTCATGTGATGCAACTCTTCGCAACTTGTGTTTTTTTACTCTACTTTAAATTTGAGAACGCTTACTGCAAAGTCAACCTTTGTATTTACCTTTTGTCTTGTAGATTTCCCCTTAAAGAACTATTCTGCAGCTATATGGTAATCTATTACAACTGAAATATGCCCAGCTACAATAGACCAATAAAACTCGTTCATTTACAGGTAAGGAAAACAATGCTAGAAACAACTATAATGATAGAATTTCTATTTTATTGATAAGCCTAGATAATGACATAGCATTATAGTACAACAGGCTACCAAAAACACAAAAAACTGAGCTTCTGCATATTCTTCAAAACCAATTATTTTACAACAAACCCTTCCTAAAATTCAGAGAAGACAGAAAGTAGGATGGAGTAAATAGAGAATCGGTTTACTTGAAGATGAAAACAGAAACCACTCTAAGCATCTGCATAGTAAAGAAGAAAAAAAAAAAGTAAATGGACATTTCAATAATGAACACCAAGAACTAAGTGAAGACTGCAGCAGTAAACTGTATGCATGAGACAAGCACAGCTATAAAAATACAGTGCACATTAAGGAAGTTCCAGTGTTATTCTCCATGAAGAATTAAACAAGTGTGATTTACGATAGTCCTGATTCATAAATATTAACCTCCCTCTGAAAATCTATTCTTTTTCTAAAATTAAATCCTTTTCGGGCTCTCTTCTTCCAAGGAGACATTTGGACAAACTCATCTTTTACTTCATCACTGAGAGCTGTTTTGTCCCAGATTCATCTTTGTGCCCTTTTCCTCATTTCTGCACAATTCAGAACAGAATCCCTCCTGCTGAGGGATGAGGAACTTGCAAGATTTTCTTCTTTCTTAACAATGATGCCAGCTCTGTTCTCAGAAGGATCTGATAAAAGAACCCAAACAAAGATGACTGCTAGCGAGTGCGAGCAGAACAACCAAAACAGACAGCACTTGACACAGGGAAACTAACTACTCTTGAAGAAAAGAAAAGAAAGGCAGAGACTTCAATGAGCAAATTTCTTCTCTTACCTGCTACTCAGAGACTTATCTCCAGAAAGTTCCCTTTGGAAGATTTACAAGGGGACTTGATTTGGTTTAGAAAATTTGGTTTAATGTTTCCACAAGACAACTGATGCTTCAAGAGCACCTCTATAATGAACTACTATGCAGCACATAGCTAAGGCACAACCATTAAAGCAGAATTTCTTCTATTACTGGAACTGGTCACAAAACATTTTGCCCCAACCTGAGCAAATTCTACAGGGAAACATACAGCCACCACACAAATCAGGCTTTTAAACGAAAAATAAATTTTAAGGTTCTCTATCTTCCATGAACTATACAATTGTTTCACAGCAGTTCATCAAGAAGTTCATCAAAAGCTAGCACACTCAAGAGGCCTTCACTTCACTCAACTCTTTTGACTTTTTATCTTCCAGGATAAAAATAAACAAAAGAACACTGAATAAACAATAAACATTCTTCTAGTGCATGTTTTTCCCTTAATGCCAGTTTCCTCTTGAAGTCACTATGGGAAAGGTGTTCATTTAAGGTATCATTTGCCTTCCACTACTTTCAGATCAGAACTGATCTCAGATGGTATTTTCATTCAAAAAAAATGAAGTCCCTATATGGCTAAGAAGAAACAGAGTGCCAAAAATTGAGAAAAACATACTTTGAATTTTTGAAATGAAAATCTTGTAACCATTTAAGTAGTTAGTGCCATTGAAGAGAAATTCAGTCAATCTAGCAGAGAAATCAAGCCTTCAGCTTAAGTGCATACATCTGAAACCTAGAAACTGATCAACAATAAAAACAACAAGGATGCTGTGTACTGAGAAATAAATAATAAAAAAGGCACTCCAGTTGAGTTCTCTCATGTCTCTAGCCAGGAACTTTCAGAAATGAACTGTTACTTATCTATAGAAAAATTGACACAAAAGGGGATCAACGGAAAAAACCTTCCTTCCTTGGAGCTCTTAGTTTTTGCCTGTCAGGAAGTTTCTGGATAAAAAGACTAACACGTAACAGACTCTTACAGTTGTATATTCTGGTTCCATTCCTAGATCAAGGAACCATTTCTTCAATAAGATAAAATGTAAAATTCCTTTACAGGGAACATTGTTAACATTTCACATTCATCCACGACA